GCTCGACAGGTTGAGTATTGAAACTTTGGAGGGAGGAATAGTGGCTGATTTCTTCAATTTGTTAATTGGTTACTTTGAATCCTGTGATTGGCTGTTTGCTTTGGAAGAAGATGAAGATGATCACTGACCAGTCAATGAAAGAACAGCCAGTTTCACGCTCAGTCATTATGTCGGAGCAAGAAAGTCTTACACTAAGTTAACTCTTTCAGAGATCCTATTTTAATATTGCACGTTCGAGGTGGTAATCAGAATCATACATATATGATTCAGAATGTAATACTTAATGATTTGTTGATACCTGATAAACACACCAACATGAATAAGGGGAGTACAGGGCCCAATTTTCCCCACTTCAAACAATAAATAGCCTTTCAAAACAAAAACATTTGGAGATACTGCTGATGATCACAATATAAATTTTCTAACTCAAAGGGACTACCATTTTCCAAGCTATTCATTTACAACATATTGCAGTGCCGGTGGGATTCGCACATCCCAGCATGCCTTACGAGCGCATGTATATAGCCCTGTGTATGTCATTGTAAATAGCCCTTGTATTATTATTGTTGTAGATATGGTTAATACTTGCTTTCCCGACTGTGGTGTGTGTTTGCCGATGTATTATGTGAACCCTGTCCGATCCTCGCATGTCCTCAGCTTATATAAATTTCCCACCCTGTGTGTACTTTATAGTTCGGCGTCAGACCACCTTGTGTTTCTGGTTCGGTGCTCGTTGAGTGCCTGTGTTATTCATTTTCAGGACTTAATAAAAGGGAGTTGTTCACTCCTAAACGAGCCACCTCGTCATTCTCTATCATCGCCGCGATGTGTCAGTGTGCCAGCCATCTCAATGGTGTCAGAAGTGGGATCCCAGAAGCGATCCCCCAGGTGCTGCTGGAGCGGGCGCTTTAAGACATCATCCAGCAAGCCTGCTCCAGCCTGGCGGATGTCGAGGTGGCAAGGGAGCAGCGGCGCCAGAGAAGCAGCAGTGCTCGGCTCATCTGCTGGTGCTGCAGGAGAGAAGGGCACCGGGCATACCACTGCCCAAAAGCCAGCACCAGAGCTGCCAGCAGATGAACAGGGGATACCAGAGCCAGGAAGGCACCCTCCGCTCCATCCAAGATACACAGCGTGCCCTGAAGCCGTTCCTGCCAGCCCGCTAGACTCGCATCGGAGACGGCAACGTCATTTAGTGAGGAAGGCTGGCTCTTCAGCAGACTCTGGCTGCTCACCAGCCATCAAGTGCTCCCCACTCACCAGCTGTGAGGAGCCGCGATGCGACCCCAGCTGTGGGCATGACCAGTAGAGACAGCAAGCAGAGGCTGCTTTGCGTGTGAGTGAGGAGGCATGCCTCAGCTGGGAGGCCTGGTTAGCTCAAGAGCGATATGAGCTAGACAAGCAGTGGGAGCAGGAGCATTAGGTTTAGGAGTGGCTGTGGCAGTCTGCGGAGCTGGAGCGGCAGAAGCTGACTATGTGGCAAGCTAGCCAGGAGCAGGAGCGCGACCGCCAAGAGTATCTGAACAAGCTAGCAGAGGTGGCATTCTGGGGCTGTGAAGCAGCGCTGTTTGGCCGGGAGGATGCAGGTTGGGGCTTGGAAACCCAGCTGGCCCAGAAGCACTGCAGAGGCCATGGTGTGGGGCTGTGCAGAGGTAAAACTCACTCTGGAGGCCCAGCTCACGAAAGACCACTACCAGCGGTGGGATGAGGGCTGCTTGGCATGCCTGTGAGAGGCTACCCATGTCGTGGTGCAGGAGCAACTGTGCAGGCCTGCCTGACCCTGCGAGCAGGAGGCCCCATGACAGGGCCAGCCTGCCGCCTAACATCAGGGCCCCACAAAGAGGGGTAAAAAGAAGGACTGGGGTCTGGAGGAGGCCGCAACGCCATCTCCAGCTGCTCTGCTGGCTGCCCCCAGAGAAGGGGGACTAACTGTGGGAGTCGTTGGGAGTGGTGTTCCCTGGCCAGGAGGACCCCCTGTAAGGGCTACCAGATCAACCTAAGCCGTGTAAAACGAAGTGTCAGCAGTCAGGGGGATCTGACATGCCAACACCCACCAGCACCCACTTGCGAGCTGACGGCCCTCCCTTCATCGGAGACACACTGGCAGCTGCCATCGGACTTTGGGACTTGGTTCAGAGCTGAGGTGGGGGCTGAAGGTGATGGTTGCTGTGACCACTGGGGAAGGGGGTAGTATAGCGCCAGTGGAATTAGCACATCCTGGCGTTGTATTGTTGTTGTAGGTATGGTTAATACTTGCCAATTGTGGCGTGCGTTTGATTGTGTCTTATGTGAACTCTGTCCAATCCTCGTGTGTCCTTAGCTTGTATAAATCTCTCACTGTGTATGTACCTTACAGTTCGGCATCTGACCACCGCTGTTTCTGCTGTTGTTGTATGTTTTATTTGGTTCGGCGCTCAATAGGTGCCTGTGTTATCCCTATTCAGGACTAAATAAAAGGGAATTATTCTCCCCTAAACAAGCCACCTTGTCATTCTCCATCGCTGCCTAAATGCACATACACAATATAATAATGATATACAGTGGTACCTCAGTTCTCGAACTCATTAGAACTCGAATTTCTTAAAAGTCAAACCAACCAGTTAAAAAAAAAATTACCTAGAGCTCGATCTGAATCTCAGAAGTCAAACCGTGAATGCCGACCTAAGATAACTTGAGTCACACGGCACGTCTCTCAGCGGAAACAAAGGGTAAAGCTTCAGTCTCAGCCTCGCATTAGCTGTGATAGCATCGTGCATGTTTACACTAGCTGAATACATGTATTTAGACAGAAAAAATACATTTAGACAATGATAGACAGTAACAGTAATTATTATTATTATATAATAAAATACATTTAAAAATAAAGATTTCTTATTCATTATTTTAATATTAATAATAAACCATTAATATGTTTAATTATAATAATATTGTTGTGGGACGGAACGGAGACAAAGGCGCAGACGTCAGGGTATCGGGGAATACGGGTTTAATTACAGGTAAGGCAGGCAAAACGCAGACGGATAATACAATGACCGGACAGGGGAAACAAACTGAAACGCGGATGAAATACAGAGGACTAATGACAACAACCAGAAACAGCTGATCACATGGGGATTCCACATGAGGTTAATGAGGGGGCGTGGCACACGGAAGGAGCGGACGGTCGGGGCAGGACACATTGTTTAGATTTATTTTCTTACTTTACAAATTACTGTTTTGATAAATGTGCTTAGATATGTTTAGTATTGCTCTTCTTGTTTTATCCGGTTCATTTTGTGTTTAAATGCTTAAAAAAACATATTTAGGTGTATTTTTTTGGGGCTGGGAACCAATTAATTGGTTTTCCATTATTTCTTATGGGGAAAATTCAATCAGAACTCGAACTTTTTAGGATTCGATCCGGAGTTCTGAACGGATTAAATCCGAGTTCTGAGGTACCACTGTACTTTAATAATGTAATATCTGTAAGATAACATATATGTGGGTACTGTTACATGCGTGTACAGTTTGAATTTTTATACTTCTAGTTACTGTCTCTAAGTATGTCTGCAGCATTCACAAGTAAACAATTTCATTGAGTTGTCATAAGAATTTCATTGAGTTGTCATAAGAATTTCATTGAGTTGTCATTGCATATGCAATAAAGACCTTGATTTCAATTATTAGAGTAATAGAAGTCATCAGGCCTGCAACAGAGAACCATACAAGGGGAGATAAAAAAAATTCAGGAAAACAATCACCTATCTATAAATACTCTGCATGTTACAACATACTTAATCCAATGAATGTTCCATTTGCACATTCTGTACATATGCTCTGTACTCCAAACAAAAAATGATACATATTAATGATGCGCACTTGACAACATTACCTTGTCAATGTGCACTGAAAGTGCAATACTAACCCGGTGGTTCTAACACTAGACTGACATGTAACTAGTATCAGGGGATCGCTGCTCCCAGGATTTAAACTGGTTTAGTGATGTTGTAGGAAGAAAGATACCTTGTTGTTCATTTGTTGATTTACTGTACAGTGGTCCATTCTGTAGTGACTTTTATATACATTAATATGAAGTGGAAAATTCCAGCAATCCTGCACTGAATTTCAAGTACTGCTTGAAGTACACACACACACGTCTGATTTCGATTACCACCTCGAATGTGCAATATTAAAATAAGATCTCTGAAGGATGATAACTTAGTGTAAGACTTCTGTGCTCCGACGTCATGACAGAACATGAAACTGGTTGTTCTCATCGTCTGCTCAGTGATCATCTTCTTCTTCTTCCATAGCAAACCAGTCAATCATAAGATTCTACGTGACCAATCAACGAAGCAGAGAAATCAGCCACTGTTTGCACCTCCAAAGTCTCAAAACTCAACCTGCTGTGCAGACGCGAGGACGCAGAGAGGATGGGTTTTCAGATCGCGAGAGCATACACGCGCGTGGTTTTTATGTACGCGAGATTTGAGACTAATTAAACGTCATATTCCCCCTTCCCCGCCCGAAACGCCGACCCCGCGTGCCCTTTAATTACCACCGCAGCTGCACCCCCTGCTCCATCCATCACCCCTAGCATGTTGTTAAAACCCCGGGCTCTCTGATGGGTCTCATAAAGTGAATCGATACATCGAGCGGGTCGTCGGCCACGGACCCCAGGCACTAACGTGTTTATTCGCGATCCGGGTGTCCAACGCGCGTAGGAGACTATCACACGCTTAGATATAATGGTTATGGTTCATTTCCATTTTCTGTAAATACAAGAGGTTAAATTCTATATTCCAATAACAAATGCGTATACGGCTGAGGCAGACAGTTTATTATTATTTTACGAATATAAGCAGAAATTAAAGGCATGATATCCATGACGAGACTTACACTGCGCTTTGCTGATATATCGTCACATGCATATATACATATATATTAAACAAATTCAAAATGAAGCGACGTGTGTTTGTTGATACGTTATGAAAGGAACGTGAAACGAAGGAAGGTAAACTTACCAAAAAGCTGCCGAAGGCGGAGTTAAATATGGCAGCAGCCTGTAAGGGAAAGAGAAGGCAGTGAGACAGCGCGAGCGGGAAACGGCGGCGGCTCGCGCCACGACTAGCGCCTCCATCGCGGCGGGAATCTCGCGCCTAGCCGCCACTGAAGCAAGGTAACAGCCGGCAATATGAACATAAAAACACACACTTAGGCTACACACTGAAGAATGGAGTGTGAAGGTACAGGGGTACCCCGATACATAGACCGCGGAACCCTAGGGGTCTGGTAACTTTAGCGGCATCATTAAGAATGCATAGAGGAACAATCACGAAATAGTTACCTACGAATAATGTAATGCAAACCGATAAAACTTCATTTTTATGAACTATATACATGTTTTTTTTTTAAATGTTACATAAGTTATAAAATCAAACAGAAAAGACTTGATTTTACAGCCCCTCTTGTTCCGAGGCGTTACGCCGTACACACCTGTGTCTCATCTAACAACACGGAGGCTGTACGCCGAGACACCAGCAAGGAACACCTTTATGCGTTGGAGTTTTAAACTATTACAAACTAAGCAGGAAAAGCAAGGCAATCCCAAGTGAATGTATTTTTATTACAGAAATTTTCAGATAACCCCACAGAGGAATATACCTGCATGGAATCTGCTACCTGGCCATTAATGTCAGTCTGCTTTGATGTACGGGCTGGTTGATTAAAATACTCTAATTTACTCTGATTATGCACAGACATCCATCCATCCACCCATCCATAAATTTTCAAAATGCTTATCGTGGTAAGGGTTGCATGAACAATGATATTTTTATTAATTATTACTTCTGTTGTCTTGTGTTAAAAGTATACATATTCCCAGGGCATTTGTGTGTGACATGAATTCTTAGAACAAAAACAGCCTGACAGAGTCAGTGGATTACACAGGAGGAGCACACATTCTCTTACCAAAACAGGCCTCAGGATGACCTTATTAGTTAGCTAGTTTACACCACCTTTACCCCAGACACTCCTCAGCTCGTGGGCTGGAGCAGAGCCCAGAACACCCGAACCAACAACAAAGAGACATGCTGTCGAATGTAGGGAGGGGTCAGGTCAGTTAATTCCCAATACCCCACACACACACAGGCACATCCAGCTATGGGAGGCAGTGCAGATAACCCTCCTGCCACCAGGTAGTAACAGACTGAACTCGGTCCAATGGCTGCCCGGTGCCAGACACAGAGCGATACCACGGCTCCTACCCCAAACGAGGCTGTGGAGCAACTGCATCTGAGATCAGAAGTCAGACTCCAGAGAGATGAGCTCTTGCATTCCCATTCATTACTAATTCAACGACGTTGATAATTTCATTAGATTATTAGTTTCCAAGCGTTACAAATGAATAATGGCAGCTGGATGGGAACAGGACTCAGCATGAGAGCCAGCTGAGGACCTCCTGTGTACCCAGAGCCACACAAACATATGGCAGTCTGAGCGTCGTAAGTTCACTGATCATCATCATCTTGGCAACTGGAAAAACCCAAATATTTTAACTGGTCTCTCCTCAACTCTGGTGGAGAGAGGTGAGGATTCATGGGAAGGTTGGAAAGGGACTTCCAAAGATGGGGCGTTCATCTGCTCCCAAAGACCTGACATTTCAGACAGAGGGAATGTGAACTTTGGGAATAAACATGATTTTTAAGAAAGTCACAAAACAGGCTTGATTTCAGCCAAGCAGACTCAATCCAACATAACTCTTTTGGCATTTTAAACATTATAATAATAAAGGGTCCAGCTGGAAAGAGGTTCTTAAATTTCACATCATGTTGGTTGCAGCTGCACATGTACAAAGGAAGGGCTGCTCTGGGTCAAACTCAGACCCACAGAACCGCACCACCTTCATCAAGAACACAATCTGAATGTTTACTGCAAACTACCAACATGATGATCATACATTCAGGAGAAAGAGCAAAACAAAAAATCTGAAACTCTGTACATGGTTGATTCAGTGTAGCGGCATGAGGTGTAGTGGGATGTTTTTACACATCACAGATGCTACTGTGATGGAGGTCGAAGTCACCAGCATCATTAAGAATTTGATTTTAAAATCACAGACCGAAGGCCATGATCCTCGAATCAGTCAGTCCTCCCATTATGGATTAGACAGTGATTCACTCTGAACAATACAGGTACTGATTAACCTGCACGAACATAAAAGGATACAACACAGATAATGAAAAAAACCTAATGGATTAATCGGCCTCTCTTACTAATTAAACAGTGACACTGATAGGGACAGACCTGCTCCAATCGTATGTCGAGAGTCTGAACTGAGCATGACTCTCATGACGATAGGAACCTTATTCACAGCAGTCTGTGACACATTTCCGCTACCCGGCTAATGGAGTGCAAAATAAAAATGTCTAGATGGTTCACAGAGCTTTCATTACTGAGCGACACAAAGCTTGCGGCAGGTCCAATATGTGACTGTCATTCAAGGAGACGGTACACTTCATAATGGAAAAATAATTACTCGGGGATAGAAGGAAATAAGTCAAACAATGTTATGTTTTTTTTTTTTAAGCGGAGTATATGGTACATTCTTATGAACATACACACTGTCACAGAAACCCCAAATCAAGATAAAAGGAATGCGAGTCAAAAAGTCCACCCTGATGAACCCACAAGGTGCCTCTGCTGCAGCAGCAGTGTAATCAGCGGTCCGTTTATTGCCCTTTCTGACTCCATTAACACAACAATAATAGCAGAATGGCACAGCAACAAAAATGATCTAACATGTAAATGCATAAAGGAGAGCTGGAGATTTACTAAGGGTGGCTGAGTCAATCACATGGTTAGTCACGTGGGTTTTACAGTCTGGTCTGAGGGAGTTTCACTGAAACCTAGAACCACTTAACTCAAGTGTGACCACATGGTGCCCATGGAGACATCCCAACAGGTCCCTCTGGATACAAAGGAGGTGGATGCAGTATCCATGGATTTCAGTGGTGAATCCAGGCCTGACATTCTCCTCACCCACCGTCCTCAATCACACTGTGCAAAACCCATGACAACAACTACATCTTACCAGACTGAACATCCATAATGCAGAACATGCCATGTCACAGATATCATGAGTATGTGTGTGTAGGTTTGTTTCTCTACAGCTTCATTAACCAGGTCTCACCACAGCAGAACTATGAACGTGATGGGGACATGTCTCATTCCCGCCGGAGGGAGCTCGCCCTCTCAGAAAACTAAAAAAAAAAAACTCATCCTAGCCGTTGGCTCTGAGCATAAGTCTAGTAAACACTTTCAAAATGGCCGCAGAAAAATAAGGGAAGGAAACCAAACACTGTGATTTGAGAGGCAGACAGAAGCTGACAGTGTTTAAATACACATTACGCTTTGGTTGATTTATAAGCCTGGTCAGACGCCTCCATGCAACTGAAACTTCAAAACAGATTCTAGTCCTTGTATCTGAATTAGTCTTCAGCTAAAGAGCAGTCAGCAGTCCCGCGTAGGGGGCACGTTTAACAAAAAAGGGGGCCAGTGAGTACCCTTGGAGGGTGGAGGCAGGGCACCACCAGATCGCCTCCACCCCTCCACCACTCCTTATAGGACTCCTGTCTCACAAGCCTTACAGTCACTCAAAAGGGAGAAAACAGTGAGATTCAACCTCAGATAAAAGCTGCTGATGTAACTTCCAGTTCAGTCATTGTCATATAATGACATCTGTCGGGGGGTACGCAGAGGTCCGGGGCCCCACCGCCAGCCACCCTATTTATATCTGCTCTCATTTCTGCTGATTAATAATGCAGTGCCAGCATGCAAAAAGGACCCCACCATTTTGGGTCAGCATGACAGACCCCCATCGATACGTTAAACGATAGGACAAAAAGCTCTGTTACATACTTTAAATATGCTGCTAATTTTTATTTATGACCATTCTTTCCAGGAGATCATGTCAAAGCGTATTTGATCTGAAGGTGTTCGTCACCGGCACAGCAGAACCAGGTTTACAGAACGAGTGAGGACAGCCAGAGGCCAGCACACATGAAGCAGCTGGGGTTAAAGGCCCAACAGTGATACAAATACTTGACTGGCCACGGAATTCGGTCCCACAGGCTTCCAGTTACAGGCACAGAGCCCTGACCTGCTGAGCTTCCCACTATTCGTATAAAATATTAAAACGACCATATCTAATCAGGTCTGATGATTTCCAAAATGAGGAAAACCTTGTGTGTAATAAGCCTCTAATTCAAAAATTATCAGTTAAACTTAAAACAGCTCTTAGTGTCATTTGTGATATAAGGATATTAGAAACTTAAACCACGGAAAAAAAAAATCCAGCGACACCTTCTCCTCCACACGGCACACAGCCAGACCAGGGAGGCCGGTGTAAAGGCGTATCAAGGCGTCAAAGGAAACCAAGGGAGTCGATTCTGAGACTTTCGCTCCCTGCTGACTTAGTTTGAATTACAGGCTCTGTGACCTGGATGCAGATCGTTACCAAAGAACTCTCCTGCTCAGGCCATGCAGGATTCTCCATCTGTAATTCCTGCATGAGCAACCAGGCTCTCTCATCTTTAAGCGTGGAACAGTGGGAACTTTTGGTGCTCACCTCCAGGCCTGGATGTCATGGCACATCTGCGATTCCCTCAGGCTGCGAGCGGTAAAAATGCAGTCTGAGCTGGAATCAGGAGGGAAGAAAGTTTGTCGTTCACAAACATTACAAACCTTTCACAGATCTTCCAGTGAGAGCGTGAATCCAGCCAGCTATCTACCTCCAAATGACAACTTTGAGCAGCTTTCAGTGGAACAGCACCTACTTTATAACAATAACATTATGGGATGGAGAGCAGGTCACTGTGATGGGGAACACTTCCTAAAAGATAAGCAGTAACTATAAACAAGCAACATCTGAATCTGGAAAAAAAGCAATTATTTAATTCAAAAAGGGAATTATGTCACTCATTTCCAATTATTCAGCTTTAAATAAAAATCAGGCGGGGGCTCCATTTTATAGAACTCCCTGAGCTTGTAATTAATGCTGGGTCCAAAAGAGGGCCACCTTTTCTTAATAAACCCCTCCAAATGAAGTGCTAAATGGCTGTGTATGCACTCCTTCCACCTGCCTCCGGGTACAGTAATGCCTTTTTTTCGTATGTATATGAGCCTGACCCCCGGACTCTTTAATGCAGGTATTCTGCCCCTCTAATCATAAAGCATATTAGTCTTCGTCTGCACCAGGCAGCTCCTAACGACGGGGAGGACAGCTGGGACAGAGGGGGCAGCAGGCTCATGCATTAACATAATAATCCGACTGCTCTCCCACAGGCCCTCGGGCCAGACAGCATGTTAGGAAGGGCCTCTGAGGGCCTTAGTAGAAGCCGTCTTATTGTTTGCCTGTCAAACTTTGTAATTCCTGGCCTGCAAAACATACAACGTGCTGAAAACTACACATTATATTCTCTTTTTTAAATCTGTTCGTCAGTTTTTTTCTTTAAAGATACAGGTGCTTTTATATTCTAATTTGTACAGAATTCCAAAAGAAATTTGAAAAAAAGTTTAATTAATATTACTATTATTAGAATCTAGAATATAACATTTTTGTGTTGGAGGAAAAATAACACGTGTGTCCCAGTCAAACTGGAAGTCTATATTTCAAAGTATTTTTCCACAAAGCTGAGGAAATTTTAAAGGAACCTTGACAAGCAATAAACAATTGCCAGGGGTGGTTAGGTGGGCAATTAGCGTGTGAAGACAGTCAGATTTTTTTCAAGACTACTCCATAGACTTCACTCAGCACACACAGACCATCCCACACAGATGACCCAAGAAAGCCCTTTGAGCACACCTCCAAGCCCCCCACTCAGCAGCGGGGGCACCTCCAGCACCCACACTCCCACTGGCACTCCACGGGCAGAGCTTTTTAATTGCCGGTGAGGCCAGCTTAGCGTCTGGGTCAGCCGTATTCTCTCCAAGGACGTTTCTGGCCACATTTCAATTACCACCAATTGTGGAACCCGGGGCTGAGCCGTGGACAGTTGTCCACCGAACGTGGGCCAGGAGCGGCAGCGGCATTATACAGAAGGCCCGGGTGCATCTCCAGGTAGCCAACGTAAAGCTCCATTCGCATCACAACGACCTGTGACCCTCTGAGGTCCTTCTAATCACACAGCTAAAGACATAACAGGACCTAGACTTTAGAGAAGTCTTATTATACTGATGAAGAAATAGGCCAAATATTACTACAATGAATTTTAAACTCATAAACACCTGAGATAAAAAAAGTCTGCCCTAAGCCAAACCAGAAAATAGAAACTTTCAACTGACTGTTTAAATTCTGTATTTGTACACAGAAAGACCCACACTATAAGTGTCTTACTGAATCATAAAGCTGCAACATTATTCAACCAAACATTAGATTGTACATTTGTAGGGGCTAAAAAGGCAAAGCTAACAGTAACCCAGCGTGGAGTCAGCTGGCCATAGCCTTTAGACACCTCAGGTACATCTTTGGGCCAGCCAACCCACCTCTAGTTTCGGCAATTATAATCCTGTGTTTTTTTTGGGATCGCCGACTCTCTGACTGAAGCCCGAACCTCAAGCACACAAACCCCCAGCCTCATAAATCATTAATCAAAGGGCGCACCAAAAGGAAATAGAACCGGAGAATGATGTTTCCTCAGGGCAGCGCCCTCCCAGAAGCCCCCCCCCATCCTGCACCACAGCCAAAACCCCACACTACTATCGGGTGGATAACATCCTCATTCTATATCTGATAACCATGTCCTACCTGGGACTCTGAGCAGGTGCCTCCCATTTTCTGACAGAGAGACGCCCGGGAATCCAAGCAGGTATTTCCCATTTTCTGACAGAAAGACGCCCGGGAATCCAAGCAGGTATTTTCCATTTTCTGACAGAGAGACGCCCAGGAATCCAAGCAGGTATTTCCCATTTTCTGACAGAGAGACGCCCGGGACTCCAAGCAGGTATTTCCCATTTTCTGACAGAGAGACGCCCGGGAATCCAAGCAGGTATTTCCCATTTTCTGACAGAGAGACGCCCGGGACTCCAAGCAGGTGCCTCCCATTTTCTAACAGAAAGACACTCGGGACTCCAAGCAGGTACCTCCCATTTTCTGACAGAGAGACGCCTAGGAATCTGAGCAGGTTCCTCCCATTTTCTGACAGAGAGACACCGAGGAATCCAAGCAGGTACCTCCCATTTTCTAACAGAGAGACGCCGGGGACTCCAAGCAGGTACCTCCCATTTTTTAACAGACAGATGCCCAGGACTCCAAGCAGGTACCTCCCATTTTTTAACGGAGGGATGCCCGGGACTCTGAGCAGGTACCTCCCGTTTTTTAACAGAGAGATGCCCGGGACTCTGAGCGGGTACCTCCCATTTTTTAACAGAGAGATGCCCGGGACTCTGAGCAGGTACCTCCTGTTTTTTAACAGAGAGATGTCCAAGGCTTTAGGAGGGAATGCCAATTTTCTGACAGAAGCCTGGGACTCCAAGCAGGTATGGCCCATTTTCTGATAGAGACGCCCAGGACTTATGTATATATAATGATCTGAAAAGAGACGCGCACTGCTAGTTCAGTGATACAGGGACTCTGGTTCTTCAACACAAATGGGCTTCCACGACTCGGTCTAACATGCACAAATGCTTCAGGGTTAAGATGCTGCCTTGTTTAAATGATGGTACTCAAAAACACGATTTGGGGTGTGGCGTTTTCTCAGAGCAGCACTGAAAACCTTAAATCCGCGTTCCTCACAATGTTCAATTATGACTATTTCAGTTTCATATCCTACGGCACACTCACGCCGAAAGAAAGACTTAATTAGATATACAAATCCTCCCCGATCGTCATTAATGGGAACCGCAGAATAAGCAACACATATTTTGTGCCCATAAGTAATTCTCAGGTACCTTTGATCTCCAGCCCACGGCGAAGGCTGCTGCGTGCCGCTGTCTGGCTTCTGGGACTTTGCCAGAACCAGACATCTGGCTACTTTGTTACCATTGGCTGATCCGGTCCCAGGAGGCCACTCTTATGACACCAGGCAGAGAGTATCCTGGCAAGGATTATTATCAGCACATTTTGACTGGATTAGGGTGCCAAAGTGATGCTCAAATCTCTACAGGGGTCTTCTGAGCCGTCTCCGCTTGCGGGGAAAGGAGGAGTACTGGTTTATATCACAAACCCAAAACTTAAAACAGTGCTTTAAGTATTGCAGGATATCTTCATTTCATCTGTAATAGCAAGGCACACCATATATATGCTATATATTTTTTTTAAATCTTTTTTTTCTTTTGCAAATTAATTTGAATGTAGGTGATTTCATTCCACAGACATGATTTAAACATCACTGTTGTCGTTCAGGCCATGTCCTGTTGGAGGCGCTGTGACACAATACATGATGTGTCCTTTCATATCTATCTGTAGGGTGCATAAGTTTATCCATACCCCAATCAGACAGCAAACAGCTGACCTGATTCCTGAGGGTAAACAGGAGAGTAAAGCAAAGCAAACTGTACGTTAGGCTCCACGACACCCCTTCAAACAACAAGACCCTCCTGGAAAGACAGATGGAGCAGACACATTCAGGTAGTCTGGCATAAGGTGCTACTCAAGTCGATATGATCTTAGCCCAGGAGAGAACCTCATACTCACAGTGGAATAAAACTATATAGTGTAGAAACCACACAATTTGTTATCTGCTCAAATTCCTTACACCAGCCTGCGTTTAGCTGGTCATACCCAAAGGCTCAAGCTGCCCTCAGCACCATCCGCCGACCAATGCTGACTGACTGCCATTTCTGCTTGCAAAAGCAGTGACCCACCGCGAAACAGCAATGATGAAGGACTGTGTAGCAGAGAGCTGTGTTTGGCAAGATCGAGGCCATGACTTTAGCTCATCACTGACTCGCTTCTGGTCCCAGGGCCTGGTGATCTGCAACGGCACCAGGTACTGCCTCAAGATCAGAGATAGGAGGCTGCTTCGTGATACAGTCTCTTCGAGATACAGTCATCCTGGCGCCCTCTCACATCACCACCATGTTCATCAGACAACGACATTCCCGGCTCGTCTGCTGCAGTTTCTCAACATACTCCGCAGCGTCCCGATGAGTCTGAGGGTTTGCACACTCCGCAAACCACCTCATTCACATCACCATAAAAGCCAGGGAATTTCACCAGAAGGAAAGGAAAGCAACAGGACCAGATTATGTAAAATATGTGTAGTGAGTGTAACACCCGACACGAAAGCGTATGGCAAAACACGATGGAGAGAATTAGCACATATAACATGAAATACAAATTGTTAATATTAGTGTTATAAAAATATTGCCTCAATGAATAAAAACCTAGTCAAATTTAGCCATCACCTTGAACAGTGTTAAATGCACACACAGCAAAGTAGCTTATTTTCACAAAACAAGTCACAGATGACACAAAACAACAAGTCGGCCGCCAGTCTTTTAAGCCGCCTACTAGTTAGCCATTACCAGCTACCTGGTGAGCAAACTCAGGCCTCGTCCCACAACATTAAGGGCTGCTTCACCAAGTCTTACCTCATTCCCTCCAACCGCTTTCGTCAATATGACAGCCGAGGAGACCGGGGGAGGCATGCAGCCGACCGTCTGCAACCTGCGGGTCAGAACCAGGGCGACCGTGACGTTAGGTCAGCATGGCAGCCAGGGGGCGGCAGTGTGGTCTGCACATGGCATGAGGGCGACGGCAGGAGGCTCTGACACACGCACCGTTCATCTACATATAATATACATGTACATCATCATTTCGCAGAAAGATATAATTTTTAAAAATCATTTCATTTGCACAGGCTCACATAAATGATAAATACCATGCTGAAAAGAACCCATATAGTTGCCATAAAGACGCATTTAACTTTCCCTTGGTGCCTGTTTCTGCTGTGTGGAAACAGAAATAGGAGATATGCCTTTAAAATGAAAGCAGGCCTTTGTGGACACTATGTCACCCCGCCCCCCCCCCCATGCCCGGAGCTGAAAAGCTGACAGCCAGACTGAAGGCCCAGGTTAGGGGGGAAACGGGGGGGTGGGGGGACAACTGGGGAAGCAGAGCACAGAGTCTACCATTACATATGAAGGGGGCATGGAAAAAATATGGAATGAGGGGAGGAGCCCATGAATAGGTGCAGGCTCCCTTCTGTGAAAAATATGAGGACTGACAAGAACATCTTTATGAACCTTTACCGGGAAACTGAATTCAACCTTCACATCAAAAGCCACTGAATATGATTTGTGGATCTCTGTGCCGCTTTGAAAGAGGAACGTCGACACTGAAATCACTATGGACATTAATGTCTCTCATGACACCGTCTAAACTTATTAAATAAAAGGGAAGTTACTAGCGGTTAATATTAAATAATATAATGTTTTTGACATCTGTAAATGAAGGGAAATAGTCATATTACAAAATACTAAATGGCACTTTTCAAACTTTTGGCAATACGCGGTTCATTCAAACAATTTTAGTGTGACTGAAATATGTCACATGACGTCGAGTCCTATAAAAGCACTGTAACTCTTTCCACTGATCAGCGCTCAGGCTAAAGTCATCTGTGCAACACTAAACCCATCTGGCTGCAAAACCCACTGAACGTGCACAGCAAGATCACAACAGGGCAGCCTGGTAGTTCAGCAGGTACTGTAACGATCTCCCTGCTCCTGTAGTGCAGGTTCAGCCTCCTGTTCCATATCGACCTACACACCAACACACACGGGAGCTCTCCTTCCATATTCAAGTTTCTGCCTACAGTGCAACAGCCTCACAACAGAAGAAGGTCACTTACCCTTTCAGCAGCCATTCATTGATGGCTGTTAACGCCAGCAGCTTCAGGAAGAGCCATATTGCGACAGGGAAGAAGGCCAGCGTGAAGGTCTGGACGAAAAGGTGGAGCTTCACATGCATCAAAGCGCTTGTCAGCTCCTGCGAGACGTAACACCAGTGTCTTCAGCTGCTAGAGACAAGGCCACCGATAGGCCCATATGTCTGGGCCTATCAGAGTCCTACACACGTCATTAAATCATAACATTAGTCTACAAACATCCTGATACTCATATCTGTGAGTAACTGGCTGAAACAGAAAAACAGCACAGAAGGCAAAACAAAAGATGTAACACATCATGCTACGTATACAGACAAGCTCAGCCATACGTATTTACTGTTATTAGTGCTGGCATATGGACCAGTTTCTAGTACCACACACAAAACAGGACATTCTGGATTACCGAAACAAGGCAATTTTAAGGATATTTCATTTAAGACCAGTTTTGCATGATGACACATTCAGGGACATTCCCACCCTGAAGACTGGAACAGCTGAAAAATGAGTTGGAACATGAGCCCTCACATTATCACCCTTAGAAAAACCAAATTATTTAAGTGCTGGATAAAGAGCGTCTGTAATTAGATGATGGTGTACCTCTGTTTTTAACGATAATCCACTGTTAAAGAATATGGCAGACACGGCAAAATATGTGACCGTAATCTCGGGCTTCAAGGGACCTGTGCATGGAGAAGAGTGAAGAGATTAGTGATGAACCACGTGGTGGAATAAAACTGGACTAAGAAGTACTACACGGAGTGAGACCTGTCATAGCAGCAAAATGTACTAAATACACAATGTATCTTGTGACTCAGCACAAGTAATCATTTCCCAGACAGATTCAGTTGTATCTAATTCAACGTCCAGAAGACTGAAGTAAATTAAGGAAAATATGGAGCACATTTGGAACTTTGAATTACAAAGAAATCGGCCCTAGATTACACACACACACACACACACACACACACACACACAGATCTTTGTATGGTGTAAAGTTAAGCAGGCAAGTGAGTGGGCATTTGGAGCTGCTGGGGCTAGCATGCGGAACATGCGGAAGCGAGCGCGAGCACCTCGGATGCAACGTGTCACCGGTAACGTGCTCATTTATTGGGGACGAGATCGGGGATACGAGCCCCAGAGGTACAGACCGGCGGACAGCACGAAAAAGCCACATCGTGACTGATCGGCATCTTGTGGGACTGTCATAAGGGACTGTCATCACACTGTACAGGGCAGTTGGCTGAGATCACGCCGAATCGCCCCGTGAATGACATGCATGCCTGTTTATTCTACATATTTCGTGCTTTATAATTGTTCGGATAAACTGGGCAAAGGAGCCCAACTCACCTCCTCTCACCCCAACCGAGGGCTCCAGCTTGGCAAACGAAATCACGAGCACGATACCGATTATAAACCATTCCTTTCGTATCCTGTCCAACAGGGCCATATTCCCGCAACCTATATCTTTCTATTATTACTATTATTAACGGCTAGTCGTTGGTACCACACGTCCATTGAGCTCACGGAGTGCTCGCGAGCCTAGTCGTTTGGGCACTGTCCCGTCGGCGTAAGAGGTCGCCATCGTTGATGTAAAATATGTAAAAAGGGCGCACTTTTTTTTTTTTTTAAATCTTGGTCAAATATTTTGGCCAACATATTCCCTCACTTGACATACTCACGACTTTTTACACATGAATGTTTTTTAATCGGATAATCAGAATTCATTTGTTTACTTATTATGACATAAAGCCCATTTTGACATATGTATGGGACTGTTTACTTGGTGTTTTACGGTCCCCCTGTGAATGACGTGTCACGAAGTTTTTCCCTTCCTTATTGATTCAGCCGTCACCTAGTTGGCGCTGTGAAATGCTACAAATCTTGAATTACCAATGCAGTGTTCATATACAAGATTGTACGGAGAAATAATGGTGGAGACGGAGAAATATAAAAATGCTTTATATAAATACATTTCTCCAATATATTGCTTTTAAATTAGGTTTAAACTAGTTTCTGTTAGTATAATTATTGTACCGGTTACGTCACGTGTTTATTGTGAATTGACAAGTAACCATGAGGCATATGATTAAGGGTGGCGTGGCTGGAATTAATAAAGTCATCTGGATATTTAAGTAATAAACAGGAAGGTAGTTAAATGTATCGAATATTATGCACTAAGAATGTAGTTTCGTTTGATTTCTAGTATGAGTGAATCCGATACATTTTGATAGAGATTTGGAAATTGGATATCTCCACCGAGCACTTGTGTCTTATAAGGTAGTAGTGTGATCCTATCGGCAATATTTAGTGGTCTTATTTACAAAATAAAAAAACCCAAACCAAACAGGAACATTCTGTTTTAGAGAATAAAGCAAAGTAAATGTAAGAGCTGCCCCATCACAGCAGCAGTGCTCCGTTCTTGGAATGTTCTTCAAGAGGACCCTGAGAGGAGCGCTGGGTGTACAGGGACATGTAATAGGGAGGCATACACAAACACACATGCGTACACACACACATGCATACACAAACACACATGCACAGACAAATACACACATGCACACACACAAACATACGCAAACGCACACACATACATGCATACACATATGCATACACACACACACCAACAAACACATGCACACACACACATACGCAAACTCACACACATACATGCACGCATACACACAAGTACACATGAATCTCCATGCCAAAGACCTTGAAAGAAATTGATATGGCAGTTAATCCTTATTCCAGACCTTCTTTCCTCAGTAAGCCTATTTCTTAACTATTGTATAAAGAAATATTAATGGCCCATATTTCCTTTATTCTTAGTTCTATTCATTAATTTATATTTTGTTAATTTTACTAACTATAATCAATGAAATACATATTTGGGAACATTATTGTTGTCTATATTAAAAATGAATTAGGATACACATATACCTCTGCTTCGATAATGTAAGTCGTAAGAGTGCACATTGGTCTCTCTCACCGCGTTCTCTGTGGCAGCTGTTTGTTTAGCTGTCTGTTGATTTCCGCTTACTTCACAAAGGAAGTATGATTGAACAAAATAGATGACGTTAGTAGCATAATTTTTAGAATTATTAAAACGGCTACACAAAGGCACGATATTAATACAGTTAATGATGACGGAGAAATTGCCAGACAGGTTAAATAACTCTTTGCCAAATGGGTTTGAGTTTAATAAACTCCACCGGTGTGGTCAGCGGAATATTTTAATGGAGCAATATTTTCCCGTTTAATCCATTTTAACGTAAGTCGATGATTATACTGAAGCTGAACGAAAAGTAAGCACCAGTTGCTAAAAGTTGTCCTGTTCTAAAATCCATTTTCTATGGGTAAAAATACTATTCTGGCAGGGTTTCAATTGTTATTAATTCCAGTTATTAATTATACTAAATTAATAAATTCAGATAATTTTCGGTGTCTTTTAATGTGTATTGGTTCCCACAGAGATACCCGCATTTCAAGCGGATGATATGACACCCTCTCCCCCATTTCTCATGCATTCACGTTATTTTCTTATAGAAACCCAGCAGAAATGCAAGTGAATAAATATATCTAAATTTCATCTACAGTTCACCAAGCTGTAAAAAGTGATACCACAAGCAGTCAGAAGACGGCTCCCCTCATTCAGGCGTTTTCAAAGACGATCTTTCCGTAAAGCGCCGAAAGACGCTCATTTTACCGCCTAGCGGCAGGTTTGCGTCGCCTTGTTCTTTGCGGCGTCATTGTTCCCGCTGTCATGTCGAGCTCCAGGGGGAGGTGGAGCCTTACCTGCCTTCTGAAGAAGCAACAGCTTCATTCTTTGCTTCTTCGCATCACTGCGCCACATTTAAAAATTATCTGAAGTTTTCTGTCCTTTAAAGGATAGACGCGAGAAAGGAGGAAACGTGTTTAGCCCGTTCTACCGATTTTTAGGCGCCTTTTGTCGCTTATTAACGGCTGTACGGGCGTTTAATAGCCTGTGTGTTTTAGCGACTTGTCATTTGAAGTGTCGCTGTGTATATAAATGAAATATACTGTAGGTAGGTAGGTAGATAGATAGATAGATAGATAGATAGATAGATAGATAGATAGATAGATAGATAGATAGATAGATACAAAGGCAAACATGAGTTTACAAAAAAGCAATCATATAGCGTTCCTCAAGTTAATAATTTTGGTACTATTTGAGACTCCCTTTTTATTGAATGGAATGTGACGTTGTGCGGTGTTTAACGTGACTAAATATGGAAATGCTGGATAAGACATCTAAGCCGTAGCAGTGCAGGCTCATGATATTTACAATTGTTACTTACAATTAACAGTATTACTAAAGAGTAATAGTCATAGAATGGCCTGCATGCTGGTCAAGCTGCCTAGTTTAACAAAGATGCCGAAATGCCTATTTGTCACGCCACTTGATTCTCAAAATTAAATTTACTTATACCCAAGTAAATACTATAGTAGTCCAATAGGAAGGATGCATTTCAGAGCGATCAAAAATGTCCTGTTAATTGTTTTTCCACTTTACGTCATAAGATAAATAATGCAATGATATTTTAAGCAGGTTCCGTCTTAACAGAACAACAACAACAACAAC